ATTTATCTCTAGTATACAAATGGACTTTGGGAGCCCATTCCACATAGAGGGATACTCTCTCAGCCTAGACACATGGGGGAGGGCCTAGGCCCTCCTCCAAATGATATGATAGACTTTGAAAACTCCCCATGGAAAGCCTCACCCTCCCTGCAGAGAAGAAAGGGGATGGTGGAGGGGACATAGGAGGATGGGAGGGTGTGGGAACTGGGATTGACATGTAAAACAAGCTTGTTTCATACATATATGAATCCATTTGTCTCTATGCACATAGCTAAGAAAACCAGTATTTAGAGATGTTAAGTGTTTTACCCCCAGCTCATGTGGAGATTTTTATTTTCCAGAATGATACCATACTCTTTCACATAAAGGAACTGTAGTAAATGGACAGGAGTGTTACTTGATAGCTTTTAATTCTTTTGATTGACATTGTTGACTTATTACAGAGACCTAGTGAGTGGCTTATTTAGAAATCACTTTGTGAAAAATTAACATTGAAACTGAACTGATGGAAAATCATCCAGGTGGAAGAAATTAAATGTTTAGTTTTGACTACTCAGAATGTCTAACTAACTGTTTTCATTCTTGGAAAAGTAGCCATGAATTCCAATCTACAGAAATTAAAGAACAAATGGGCAACACTCAATGGTAGGGTTTAGCAATACTCCCTATGCATACTCTCTCCTCTAGCAGGACTCTCCGGAAGGGCAAAATGACGCTGTTCAATATGTTGTTTAAAGATATAAGGTAGAGAATTATCTGGAGTCTGTTGAGAATAATGGCAACAAATACATGACCAAAAATTGTAGATTACCCCTATTTGGAAGTCATGGGAGGCAGGCAAAACACATCAGACTAGGATGTTAAGGTTAAAAAAAAACTGCCTTATTTTTTATTTTGACTAAACAGAATGATACCACCTTGTCAAATAGCTCTAAGTGACAAAAAGTGATGTTTAAATACTTATTTTATAGATACCTATAAACGAAAGCTTTATAGTTACATTTAGCTTTGTCTTTAGTCATATGTAACATTATTTTAAGTAAGTTAGAGTCATAAATAGTAACAGTATGAAGCCTCTTTTTATCCTGCCCAAAAAAATACTATAAAAATTATTTCAGTTAAACCACCTTGACAAAATGCTACACATACAAAATTTATATTGTATTTGCTGATATACTCTGAGATAGTTGGGTCCTGTGGTAATGGTATTGACTTAGAATCCACAAGTAGTGTGTGTAAGTATTTGGCCAGAAGATAAATAAGGAACACACAGTCATGTCATTAGGAACCTAGGCTCAAAGGAATTTTGCACTGATGATCCATATACCTGAGTACCTGGAGGCTGCCCACAGGAGAGCCTGTGCTATGGCAGCAGCTCCAAGGTTGTATTTAGGGAACAAATTTTTCTGACCCTGCTGGCTCAGTTCAGGCTAATTCTCTAAGTCTTCCAATATGACTAGCGAGTGTCACAGTGAATCACTGGTTCTGTGTCACTCAACACTCAAGGTTGCTTTGTTTTCACAGGTGTTACTAGGCTTGCCGAACAAGTCTGGGGCTAGCCACCACCCCGGAGATCCTATCTAATGATTGTTGTTCTTTTGCTGCAGCTAATGCCTAAGAAACACTAACAGGAGACTCAGCGCCCACGTGGAGTTTATTGAGAGAAGGGAGAGAAAGAGGGGGTAGCAGTGGGCAACCGAAAGCAGGAGTGGTGTGGGGCCCTTGCTTTAAAAAAAGGCTTGTGCATGAGTAACTGAGTCCTCTGGCCGCCAGGTAAAGCTGACTTAGGGATGACATGGCCATGAGCGTCCCCCCCATCGTTGGGGCGGGGATCAGCAGGCTGCTAGTTCCTAACAATGATGATCCTTACTGCTTACACAAGGAAGGACCATCAGAGGACAGAAACAGACTTAAGATAAAGTGTGAGCAGTAAAGACTGACAGCATCAAACTGTCCCTAAAATCCAGGGTACACCTGCAATATTAGTTATGCAAGCAGATTTCTCCACTAGTCCCAACAACATACCCACAATGTACACTGTACACATATGCACAGAGACACAAAAAACATGAGGATCTATTTTCCATTATCCAGTGGAAGCCTGGGTACTCTGCACCACCCCCTACTCCCCAAGGCAGTCTGAATACTCAAAATTTAATTTAGGTTTCTGAAGCCCTGTGATGATCTGAGTAAGCTTCAAGGGTTTCCCAAAGTTTGTTCCTCGGGGAAGCACTATTACCTATAAGGTACTCATTGAGATGGGAAATGAAATACATATTCATATGCCTGGGTGTTTTACAGAAGTAATGATATCCAATATATATGATGAACTTTCAAGACAGATTAGAGTAGGCAGCAAGGATTTGGTCAAGGCTCTTTCTTAATTGTAAGTGCTACAGAATATTTGGGGATAAATGTTCTACTTTAAGATACATATTTTATGGGTTTTAGGCAAAATGGTCCAACTGTTTAAAGGGAGCTTGTGATGAAGTAGTTGAACAGGGAAAGGTGGGGTCATATGATAAAAGAAACAAATATTTGGAGTTGCCAGGACCTGGGTTGAAATTTACCTCCATTGTTATGTTTCTTTACTAAAGACAATTATACTGTCTCTCTCAGCCTTACACATGTAAAGTGAAGAAAACATGAATTAAATCTCTGGCCTGTCTTAAAGCTTCATGGAGAGAGGATAAATTTTAGTGTGTACAACTAGACCTTAAGCTATAGGACATTTATTGTTTATTAGTTTCACAACCAAAGCACACAACTTACCTACCTAATTCTCTTATTTATCTTTTGTAAAATGGATATGCATACCTATTACCTTGTAGGAGATGAAAGGAAATGACATAATACAGGATTTACTGCCCATCTAGTACTGAATTCTTATCAATTAAACAATGGTAGACAACCTTTTGCAGACAAAACAAAGAATGATATTAGCAACTCATGTCATTTGTCATTTGATATTTTATGTGATGTATCTATTACAATGATTGGCAGCTATTTATCATTTATCCAATCCATCAATCAGTATTTCCTCCCTCCCTCCCTCCCTTCCTCCCTCCCTTCCTTCCTTCCTTTTTTTCCTTTCCTTTTTGTGCAGAGAGCATGCCTGTCTAAGGACGGATACTTAATAAAACATCCTCCTTGATCTCAGAAAATAGACAGTTGATGGGATAGGGATAAGAAATACCTAACTTCTTGTGTTTCCTTTTCTTGGACATATAACAACTGATCATAAGAAAAACAATGAGTGGCGATGGGAGGAGTATATAGACTTTGGAACAAGAACATTAAGGACAGGACTTAGGAGTGTTCAAAACTAGTGGCTATCAATGTGTAATGCTAATAAAGGGTGCGACTTCATGTGTGCTTGATAATTAATAATCTTCTGAAAATTACCCAGAACTTATTTATTGACAAAAGGATAGACCACCATAATACAAAGACAAAATTGTGTTCAATGGTCAAGCTAAAACACTCAACTGAAGTGACTATGGAATCATAATTTGAGTTCAGAATCATCTTTCCTAAAATAGTCCCAGATGTAAGCACACTGGGTTTTGATCATCTAAAGGAAGGGTATTTTCACTGTTCTTTCCTACCTTATCCCCACAATAAAGTTCAGTTATTATTGCTAACAAAAATCTAGTCCTCACAATGGGACCTATGAGCCCAGAACTATTTCATGCTTGTCTTTTGTATGTGGGAACTCAAACCGACTCACTATACTCTATGTTGATGTGCTATACTAACATAGCCACAGGAATTTTCACTTCTTTAGTTAAAAGATCCCATCAGAATAGCACACACTTTTCAGGTTAAAAGATTGGTGGTTCTGTGACCAGCAATTACAGAAGGGAAAAGAAATATAATCAGATCCTGGTGTGCATATTGTGTTTTCAGGTTGCAAATTCCCTCTTTTCGGTGTTTCAACTTTCAAAGGCTCAGGGTAGTTTGGAGGCAATCCTCTTACAAATGTACAAATTGTAATGATTATAGGAACAAGTTGTAATTGTTTCTAGCAAGTTTTTAAGCGTCTTTGATGTTATGATTAGTGTTTTATATGTTAATATATTGATAGGGGTGCTTATTTGCTTGTTCCCTTGTATGCTTTCATGGTTTCTAGGTTCAATGAGCAAACAAATCTTTGATCTCAGTAGGTCTATTTGGTTTAAAAAAAAGAAAGCTGAAAGAAATGAAACATGAGACGCAAAAGGGTTTGCAATATTCACGAGGAGGAGAGACTGGGGACTTCACTGTGAGAGCTCTGAGCCAGAGCCTGAAACTTAAAGGTAGAGAAAACACACAAGCCTACAAGCCCCATGCTCTAGCCACCAACCTCAACCCACATTCCTGTCTCAGGATGTGTCATCACCAAACAGCAGTTCCTTTTGTAGCTATAAGAGTTTGGCTAGACTGACGTCATGCTGAGGGGATCAAAGGCAGCACTCTGCAAGCCATCAGGCGCCCTCTAGCCCATTATCCTCATGCCCTTCGTTCGCAAAGCATCATGGGGCAGAATTTGGTCTTTGTCAAGGTGGTTTCATTTTCAGCTCCCCTCTGATCCTGTATGAGTTCTGGAATCTGATTGCAAGGTAGTGCCCTCTGGAAGCATGCCTCTGGACACGAATTTCTAAAGGCATATACTCGTTGGCCAATAATGACCAAGAGGGGAATCTGAGATGTCATAAAACCCAGCCGCTATCCCTAAAGCTAAGAGTGAAGAGAAGGGACACCAGCCAAGCCACTCACACTCGGGGCTTAGCGGGTCACAGCACTAACCAATGAATGCTGTGACTGTTTTTGCTTATGTTGTACAGAAGTAAAAATCACAAAGCGTCACTGAAAACCACACACTAGACAGCTTCATGAGTGAAAGGGGAAGCAAGAGGCTTACTGTTATACACGGTCCTCGATCCCCTTCCTCGGGAGCAGTGTCGCAATACTCAGATTTCAGTGCCACTAAAGAGACAGGGAAAGGGTCACGAGGTTACCTTTGCTGTACACAATGCAGTTGTTTTTGCTGTCCTCCACTCCTTGCCAAGTCACGTCCAGAAGCCACTTGGGACCAGCAGTCAGCACCATGGGGACCTGAGCCTTTGTCTTCTGCAGAATGATAACAAACAGATGCCGTTTGCTCTCCTTGATTAAAAATGTGAATAATAACTGTTTTTTTACAAACAACTAAATCTCCCAAACCGTAATCCAAGACCTTATTCCCCTGCCTCTCAGTATCTTCTTGTTTTTTTTAGATGACAGAAGCTGCAAAGATTTTACTGCTTTCACTAATCTTGCATGGTGGAATTATTATCTAGGACCCCCCCCCATGATACTGGATCAGATCTCCAAGATTAGGCATATCTCTTGTGGCTCGGAATTATAAAAGCGAAGGCGGATGATTTTCAAGGCAAAGAACAGAGTGTTTGGAAGTGAACTTCAGACACATTGTACTTCCCTATCAACAGGATCTCCTGATTTCTCAAAACAGACAGGAAAGGATTTTAAGAAACAGGATCCATTTCAAAGCTCTATCCTGAGCAACATTTATATTACAGTCTGCGCTTATTTGGAATGAATAACGAAACCTACAAGCTGTCTTCGATGAAGTGTGGCTATGTGGTCTGACGACAACCACAATCATAACGATGCTAATGACCCACCACCACACACTGTCTCCAGGAAACTGTAAAAGAGCAACCCTGAATAAATCAAATACACAGAACAGAATCATGACTTGCCCTTTGCCTCAAATAAACATACAGGCAGGGAGGCCAGTGCTTCCATTCTAACTGAACATACCAAAGATGGGTAAATTTAATTCTCATAAGATTCGACACTTTTGGGGGTTTGCCAACCAAATTATTTACCTTTAAAACCCATTTGATAAATTTACACGACAAGAGATAAACCGTGCAGGAAATCGGGAAGTCTCAGGGGACGGTGCTTCCCGGATGAGTTGCAGTAAACTGGCATTCAGACTTATCATTCGACAGCCCATGTTCCATGTATCAAATATCAGGAAACCACAACATTGAGGACAATACGAGGGTCTCAAGGTAATTTCTGAACTGAATTTTCACCTAGATATGATTCTGCCAAAGAAATCTCCGTTCATCCTGGGACTTCCTCACATGTTCTACATTATCATGAATTTCCCAAGCTGACATTCATAAGTATTCGCTGGAGGGTTTCTGTGTACTCTGGCAACCTCAGACCTCACGGGAATCTGGAAAACCCTCTTCACCCACCTCACAACAGCAGCAAGGAGTGTGCACTATAAACCATTCCATCGTAATGGCAAAGCCATGTTCAAAACTGTGCATGAAACAGAAGCCCACTCAATTCTTTAAGAAACAATTGTTTTCAGGCAAGGCATGACTACAAAACAATGTGCTAATAAAAATTTAACCCTGAAGGATAAATTTTAAAAACAAGTCTGAAATGTTAGCTGGATCAGGGGTGTGTAAGGGTTTGGGTAGCTTAGAATGTCTGGACACTTCTACTCAGCCAGGTGGTCCAGACCTCCCTTGAAAACCCCATCATGTGTGGTTGGTCTTTTTTATGGCACTACTAACTATTAATGTTTAATAAGGATCTGGATAAACAATTAGGCCGAACAGATGTTTATTCAGGGAGAAATAACTCTCAACATAGACAGGTGAGAACCAGCAGGTTCCTGGTCCCAAGGATGCCTCCGGAAATCCTCCTGTCCCCATGAGGCTAGCAACCCTGCTCCTCCTCAGACCTAGTTCCACAGGTCACCTCCACCTCTGGCTCCACCCTCCAATGGACGTGGCCAGTGCCGCAGAAGGAGACAAAGTGAATATCCCACTACAACTAACCCTTCTTTAACCCAAAAGGACAATCTGCCTCAGTGTTCTTCTTGAACACCAAACCTAAAGACTTCCATTATATAAAGTCTCCAGGAAATCTTATTGTAAGGCAAGCAAGTCAACTGGTCTATATCCGGATCTTCCACTCATGTCACAAAAACAAAACGAGACAAATTCCATTACTGCTCTTGGTACTAGAAACCTGAGCCTTTTTTTTTTTAAAGGTCCTTGTGAAGATGATAGTTGATTAATGAAATGTGGAAAAGATCACGCTATGTAGCCCATAAACTGGAAAACTGTTTGGGACTCAGTCAAAATCAAGGGGCAAATACTAGTCCTGTAGATTCAGGGGATACCAGAGAGGCCACTTCCAGGAAGAATGTGGAGTGACTGGGATCATGTGAACAAATGTTGAACAATATGTAAGAAAACTGTGTGTGTGACACTAATCCCTGGAACTCTGTGGTTTATGGTCTAAGAAATTCTTTAAAACTTTTCTGAGTGTGTGTGTGTATAAGTCACTGAATGAAAGGGCTAGCTTCCATCTTCACAGTCACCATTGATGTGCTTCTTACTTATAAATAGGGATCCTTTTGGGAGAAAGGACTTGGAATATCTGCAAGCATGTCTACACATCAGGCAAAACCTTTTGTGATTAATTCTCTAAGCAGACATAGCCAACAGAAACAGTTTCATAAATGGAACATGAATAGTAGTGTGATTTATGCTATATAACATAGACAGTGTGTTAGATATTTGCTCTGTCTTTTTCACAGACAAGGAAGTCAAGTCCTAATGATAATTTCCTGGGGGTCAATCATCTAGTAGAAGGCAGTGGCACACTCTCTCTCTGTCTCTCTCTGTCTCTCTCTCTGTCTCTCTCTCTGTTTCTCTCTCTCTCTCTCTCTCTCTCTGTGTGTGTGTGTGTGTGTGTGTGTGTGTGTGTGTGTGTCTGTTTCCCAACATGATCACACTGAGCGACATCAAATAGTTTTGTGGAACTGAGGGTTTCTGAGGCACAAGGATGGTAGGCATTTCCTAGTTGCTGCTGTTACTGAAACTATCAATAGTTTATATCTACTTAATACCTGCAGCATGTGGAGTGTTAAGTACTTTAACTGAATGATGTTGTGTTTTTCTTTTTATGACTCTAACACCAAATGACTATACCTCAAATGCCCCACTATTTTGTCCTTAAACAAACTAAGACTTAAGAGGAGATGATTTTGTAACTCAAGCAAAAATAGTTGATTAATATCAGTGCTGAATGATAAGCTAAGTACTGTATATCTTAGGACTCTGCTAAACACATATCACTCTTCAGCATGGGCAGAAATTGATTTAAGAAACTGACTCGAAAGGAAGGAAACAATTTCATCAGCAAGGCAGAAGCAGGAGTATGAGAAGGTCTATCTGAAAGTTATACCCAAGCTGTAACGTAAATAATAAAAAGATTTTAGAAAAATCTCAACTTTATTACAGTTTTGAGGAGGTGAGCCAATTTCTTCCAGAAGAAGTTAACTTTCTTGTAGAGATTGACTGTCGTCAAAGAAGATTTCCAAGTGTGAGAAGGAAGGAGTTAGCCAGGATTATATGAAATGTACCCTCCAGAAAAAAAAATCCATGAATAGAAAATAATAACATCCACAGTGATCATTAGGTTTATTTCCTCATGCCACCCTCTAGTATGAGGATTCATAGAAATTCTAGAGTTTCAGACACTTTAAACTCCATTGAGTGAAATTCTCTGGCTTCCTGCGTGAAGGACGGAGGGGAAATCTTTATTAACACATAAAGTGAAGAAGTGGCAAACAATACTGAAGAAAGGAGAGTACTTGTAAAAGGCTAGGCATAAAGGGAAATGACAGTGAAGATTAGCCATCCTCTGAGGCCTCGGAACCTGTGAATAGTATACTACCTTCTTTGGCAAAAGATGTGGTGAAATATTTAGGATCAAGAGAGGTCAAATTGCCCCTAAATTATGCATACAGACACATTCAAAGCACAGGAGTTCCTAAAAGTAGAAAAGAAAGTCAAAAGTATGAAACAGAGAGATTATCAGATGCTAGGCATGATGGTTCACACTCGCAATGTCGTCACTCCAAAGGCTGAGGCAGGGGTATTGCTGTGGATGTCCAGACACACATAATGTGTGACAGGCTGACCTGTGCTATAGATTGTGACCCTGTAATGAGAAAGCAAGCAAGCAAACAAATTTCACATGCATTTATTCCACCTGCTTTTAAAGATGGAGAAGTGACATTGGCCACAAGCCAAAAAAAAAAAAAAAAAAAAAAAAAAAAAAAAACATGGTAGCTCAGTCCTCAGTACAGGAGGAGTCATGAGCTGTTGTTTCACAACCCTAGAAAACTATACCTGCAAAATATCCAGACACCAAGATATGGACCCTTTCTTAGAACTGCCAAAAATTAACATATCAGTTGGACACCTTGAAACCCATATGGGATTTTTGATCTACAGAAATATAAAATGAGAATTTGAAATTTGAAGCCTCTGTTGTTGGTAGTTTTTTAAAACAGTAAAATCAAGCAAGGGAAAAAGAAAAAAGAAAAACACTCATATTTACTGAGCTGTGTTTTAAGAAATGTTAAAATTCCATTCTCAAATGCATTTAGAGTAATAGAATACATTTTCTTTAGTTGGAACAATACCTTAGAAGGTTCCTATTTCAAATTGACACTAATTAAACAGTGGTGCCTGTATCCTCCTTGCCTCTGGACTTGGGTGTATACAAACATATCTGGTATCATCTTTGACTTTACAGTTGCAGTATTTGGAAAGTCAAGGTGAGGGAGTTTGGGAATCTTCACACATGTTGCTAGTAGGGTGCATTGTTAGAAAGGCACATAATTATTCTGAATTTCAGAATGTCTGTATCCAAAATGAACATTGTTTTATTGCTGTTATTGGTTTGTTTTGATTAAAGGTATATTTTCTCTGTGCCACCTTGGCTGTCTTGAAACTGTTTTATAGACCAGGCTGACCTTGAACTCACAGAGATCTGCCTGCCTCTGCCTCCTGATTAAAGGCTCTACTTGGATTAAAGGCATTCGCCACCACTGCCTGCCTGAAAATGTACATTCTGTCCCAAATTTTATATATATATATATATATATATATATATATATATATATATATATATATATATCACAATACTCAGTACTCTATAGAGACATGTCATTTACTAAATATCTAAATGAATAAGTGAACTGAAGTGTCGAAAGTATTTATTAAATCCCCATTTATTGAGGC